GACACAGAGATACACACAGAGAGAGAGCATGAGCAGGGAGAGAGGCAGAGGGAGAGGGAGAAGCAGGCTCCCCGCCGAGCCAGGAGCCCGATGTGGGGCTCGATCCCAGGACCCTGGGATCACGACCCGAGCCGAAGGCAGACGCTTAACCATCTGAGCCACCCAGGCGCCCCAAACAGGTGGTTTTATTAAAGCATGGGGACAGAACCGTGGGTGGAAACAGCTGTTCCCCCAGGGGTCTTGAGAAGTGGCTGATTATATCCTCAGCAGTTGGGGGAAGTAAGGAAAAGGGAGGTTTCTTTTTTTTTTTTAAGATTTTATTTATTCATTTGACAGAGAGACACAGTGAGAGAGGGAACACAAGCAGGGGGAGCGGGAGAGGGAGAAGCGGGCTTTCCCGCTGAGCAGGGAGCCCGATGCGGGGCTCGATCCCAGGACCCCTTGAGCCCAAGGCAGACGCCCAATGACTGAGCCACCCAGGTGCCCCGGAAAAGGGAGGTTTCAAAAGGATTTTCATATGTTAAAGAAGACCCTCGGGATACTAGAGGCCTGGCTATCATCAAGCTAAGCTTGTTTTTCCCTCTGGCAAGGCATTAAGATAGTTGGGAGATTCCTGGAAGAGTGTCACACCTGTCCTGCCCGGGAGTGGGGGGTGCAGGGAGGTTGCAGGGTGTCAGCTTGTGCTTTGTCTTCAGCTAGCCTTCTGCTCCCTCATCATAATAAGGACTTCAGTATGGAAATGTATGATGTCATCGAAGTTTTCCAAGAATATATAGATGCCCGGGGCATGAAAGTATCCTTGAGGGAAAAGAGAGAGTTGTCGTTTCTAATCTTAGCAGGGAGAATTTTCTTACATTTACGTTTTCCTCCTATCAGGTTTTCCTAAGTCTTGTCCCCAGACGTCTGTCTAGTACTCACTGCCCCCACGACGGCAAAAAGCACAGGAGGCAACCCCAGGGGCCCGCTCGGAGCTTCATGTGCCTCTAATTCAACCACATCTGCCTCTGAACCCCATTCAGTGCTCTGGGTGAAGGATCAGTCTCTGGGTTACAGAGATAAAATACTGAAGCTGCATCAGCTAGCTGTCCTCCGCAGAAGCCCCTTACCTAATAATGATGGCTGAGGGCTGCTAGTTTCTCAGACCTTCACATGCATTAGCACCAAGCCTTCTTAATAGCCGGCAGAGTAACCCTGGCCACCCCCATTTACAGATGAGCAAACTGAGGCTCCAAACAGGAGGTCGCCTGCCCGAGATAATCCAAATGGCAGAGCCAATAGTTAGCCCAGGTAGCCCGACCTGAGTCCCACTCTTCTCCAGCCTTGCAGGGCGAGGTCGCCGCTAGTCTCATGGTCAAGGATGTCCAGCAGCGTGGAGGAGAGGGCCTGGAGTCAACCATGAGCACCCTTCCTGAGCACAGTGCAGCGGCAGCCGCCTCTCCCCCAGCCCCACCTGAGCCTAACACCCAGGATAACGGAGCTCTGCCCCTTCTGATCCTGTAGACAGCAGATCTTTTTTTCTGCAGGTTGAACCAAGGGCCATGAACCCTCAGACTCACTTAAGCCAAGCCAACCGTCCTACCATAACCTCGTGCTCAATTTCGGAAAATGCTCTTCTGAATCTGAAGCCCCAAAAGAACCAGGACTGTGAGCATGAGTGGGTGGGTGGGTACATGAGGATTCTATCTGAGAACTGCCTGAGGGCCGACTCAGCTGTCCTGAGAGACAGGCAGATGGTGCTCCCCACATGCAAACTGTGGGGCCCTGGATAAGGCCCTGCTTCCTGCTCCTAGACGCGGCCAGATCAGCCCACGAGCCGTGCAGCAGGGGCTTCCCCCCGACTCCAGCCTGGCCAAAAGACAGTTCTTGTTTTCTTTTCTCCCAAGCACAGGCCAAGGAAGTATGCGGGGCCATGCCGTGCCTCGGTCCGCTCCTCCAGAAGCTAACAGGCCTTCTCAAGACAGGACAGAGCCCATGTGGGACTTCCAACTGGTGGATCAGACCTTTCTGTCTTTCTTCCCTTTTTTTTTAAAGATTCTATTTATTTATTTGTCAGAGAGAGAGAGAGAGAGAGTACAAGCAGGGGGAGTGGCAGAGGGAGAAGCAGACTTCCGCTGAGCAAGGAGCCTGACGCGGGACTTGATCCCAGGGCCCTGAGATCATGACCTGAGCCGAAGGCAGACGCTTAACCGACTGAGCCACCCAGGCGCCCCTCTTTCTGTCAGGCAAGCAGATAACAGGGGCCACCAGCCTACCACAGGAGCCCCTGTGCCCAAGTCAGAAAGAGGAAGTTGGCCTACATTTCTCTCCCAGCTATGCTCCCCCTCAAACCCCAGGGCTGCCCACAGTCAGGCTGTGTAAGGTTATAGCCAAGTCTTCGGCCAGCACCCACCTTCCACCGCAGAGACCTGGAGTGGCTGCGCCGGCCCCCAACTGTCCTGAGCCAGCCAAGCTGGTTCCACTCTCCCGCCACCCCAGGCCCCAGCGTCAGCTGTCCGGCTGCACACGTCTCTTCTGCTCCTCAGAGGGCAAGTTCAGTTGTGGGGACAGTGAGGCAGTAGTCCAGGACAAAGCAACCTCCAAGGCTCCAGGCCTGACGTGACCCACAACTCCCCACACACTCGGCTGTCTCCAAACACCGGTCATTGGTGTTCCAAGCAGTGTCTGGAACCCTACACTGGATATGAGAACCAGAAATGTACACACGTACTCCACCCTCATCAGATGTGGCTGTCTCCCACCTAAGGGCAATCCGCGGTGAAACGCAGGGGCCGGGAAAGCAGGCCCCACCTTTCTAGCCAGGTGGGGGCTCACCCAGGTGTCCCTTTGATGTCAGAACAGAGACACCCAGTATCCATTCTAGGTGAAAACAGAAACGGACGGATTGTGAGCCCACTCTAGCATCTTCTGTGGCTCCCAGCTCCCTGCCGCGGGGAGCTACTCAGAGGCTTCTCCCCAGCCCCGGGCCAGTGTCCAGGGCACAGCACAGGCATGACCACCAGAGGGCGCCAACGCCCCCCTGAACTCAGCACAAAGCTTCCCCCCCCCCGCCGGAATGAACACTCCGCAGGGCCGCTGCCTCTCAGGATTTTGCTGAAATGAAGAAATGAAGCAGGCCTGCCAGTTCTCTGCCCTCAAGGCATTTTCAGGCGTGCGGGTGTGGGAGGCAGATCCCGAGGCCAGTATACGACCCAGCCTGCACTGGGCTGCCTGGAGCGGCCTGGGATGGGGAGGGGAGGCCGTGTGAGGAGGGGCCTGGATGGGACCGGAGACCCAGCCTGCTCTCTGCGACGGGCCGAGACCACATTCAGGGACCTTCCCCAGACTCCCCTGAGAAGATGCTCGTCAACACAACAGCCCTCAGCAGCTTCCCTGCCCTGCAGACCTGCGGTGTCTGGGCCCCCCGTTTTCCTGCTCGGCAATTTCTGCCGAATCACCTCTCGTCCCTCCTCACTGCAGGCAGGGAAGGCCGGCGCAGCCCCCCTTCTGGCCTCCCGCCCACGCCTCCGGTGAGCTCAGGCTTAGCCGCTGGGCCTCCGAGGGGCGCTTGCTTAGTGAGCGCCTGCTGCGTGCCGGCTGGGAGCAGGGGAGGCCGGGCGGCGGCGTGGCGGGGCGGCAGGCCCGGGCTATTCGGCCGTCGTGGGGCCGCGGCAGAAGTTCTGGTTGTAGAAGTGGCGGTTGTCCCTGGTCAGGGCGGTGCCCAGCTGGGCCCAGAAGGCGCGCTGGCCGCGGGGCTGCCGGGGCCACAGGAGGACGCTCTGGCGGCACAGGCGCTGACGCAGGCGCACGTAGCGGGAGCGGTGCGCATCCGGGCGCAGGATCACCAGCACCACCACGTCCTTGCGGTCCTCCAGGAGGCGCTGCTGGGCCAGCAGGAAGCTGGCGCGCAGGAGGCCGCCCAGGCGGTCCGTGTGGGCCAGCACGAACAGCGTCTTGCGGCTGCTGTAGACCGAGGCCCACAGGTTCTCGAAGAGCGTTCTGCCGGGCAGCCAGTCGCGTTCCTCCAGGCACAGGCGCAGCGCCCGGCGCCCGCGGCGCTCCTCCAGCTGCACCCGCAGCTCGTTGTACACCCAGTCGGCCACCGAGCTCTGCGCCTTGTCGAAGACCACGAAGGCGTCGTAGGGCAGGGCGGCGGCGTCCCGGCGTCGGCCGCGCCGCGGCAGCCAGGCCAGGCACAGGTGGAAGCAGTACCAGAGGTCCCAGCCACACAGGCGGTGCAGCGTGGGCACGGCCAGGCTCAGGGCCACGGCCAGCAGCGAGAGGCCGAAGCAGTCCCAGGAGAGGGCCTCGTCCAGGCAGAGGCGCAGGTCCTGCTCGAAGATGCTGCGGCCCTGGAGCTGGCCGGGGCTGCCACAGCGGACGTGGCTGGGCAGCCCGGGCACCGCGGCCTGCACCTCCAGCAAGAAGTCCACGAAGGCCGCCCCACAGGCGCAGTGCAGCGGGTTGGCGGTCACGTCGAGGACTTTCAGGGCGCCTGCCACGGGGCCAAACCAGGAGGGCTCCACCGTCTTGAGGGCGTTGGCGCTGAGGTTGAGCTCTCGCAGCCTCGTGGCCAGGGCGAAAAAGCCGGGGACCACGAAGCCGATGCTGTTGCTGCTGAGGTCCAGCCTCTGGAGCCGGGTGCCGTTCGGCAAGCTGCCGTTGCTCAGGGCCTTCAGCTGATTCCCCGCCAGGTCCAGGGCCTCCAGCATGGGGAGGAGGGTCAGGCTGGTCCAGTTGAAGAAGGCCAGGTAGTTGTCACGGAGACGCAGCAGCCGCAGGCCCTTGGGGAGCTTGTCCAGGTTGCGGGGCAGGAGGGTGTGCAGGCGATTCTGGGACAGGTCCAGCCGGACCAGGCTCCTCAGGCCTTGGAAGAAGCGCAGGTAGAGGTCCCCCTCGGCCCACATCTGGCTCAGGGCGTTGCCGCTGAAGTCCAGGGCCCAGAGCGAGGCGCTGCGGAGCTGCTGGGACACGCGGCTGTGGATGGCGTTGTGCGCCAGGCTGAGGAAGCGCAGGGCCGGCAGCTGCGCCACAAAGCTGAGGTTGTGGCCCACGCCGCGCATGCCGAAGGGCTGGCTGTTGTAGCTGAGGTCCAGGGCCTCCAGCCGCGGCAGCTCGGTGAAGGAGCGCCCGTGGTACAGGTCCAGCTTGTTGTGGGACAGGTCCAGCACGCGCAGGCTGCTCAGCGGCGCGAACTGTGAGCCGTTGACCGCCTGAGAGATGCTGTTGTGGCTCAGGCACAGGCACTGTAGGTGCGAGAGCCGGGCGAACATCTCCGGCTGGATCGTCACTACGTTGTTCCGCGACAGGTCCAAGGTGAAGTTGAGGGCCCCACAGCTTGGCATGAAGTCCTCAGAGCTCGGGGTGCCTGGTGGGCCCGCAGCCAGGTCCCTGGACGGCCGCCAGACTTCCTCCGCCCCGCCCGCCTCCCCCGTGGCCCCCGTGGCCCCCGTGGCCCCCGCCGCCCGCTCCGCAGCTCCGCTAATGCGGTTGTCCGACAGGTCCACGTAGCGCAGGCCCGGGAAGGCCCCGAAGATGCCGAGCTGGGCCTGGTTGATGAAGTTCAGCTGCAGATGCAGACGCTGGAGCATGGGCAGGTGGGCCAGCGGCCGGAGCGTGGTCTCGCTGAGCGAGCGGAAGAAGATGCCATGCATGTCCAGCTCCCGCAGGGACAGCAGGCTCCCGAAGGAGGGCGCCAGACGCAGGTGGGCGAAGGACACCTTCTTGTGGTAATTGAAGGACAGGTTGAGTCTGCGCAGCCGGGCCAGGCCGTGGAAGGCTGTGGTTTTGGTGATGCAGCCGTACAGGAAGTTCTCGCTCAGGTCCAGCACCAGGAGGTTGCCCAGGCCATGGAACCACCTGGGGTCCAGGCTGTGGAGAGAGCTGTCCTTCAACACCAGGCCTTCGAGGCGGCTCAGGTGGCTGAAGGTGTCAGGGTGCAGCTTGGGGAAGCCGTGGGGGCACTCCCTGCAGGGGTTGCGGGCGTGGTCACAGCGGCGACAGTTCCCGCCCACATCAAGCACGCGCAGGGCGGTCAGATTGGCCAGGTCATCGGGGGCCAGGGTGATGATGTGGTTGTAGGACAAGAGCAGGTACTCCAGGCTGGGGGGCAGGCGGCGGGGCACCACGGTCAGGTTGTTGTACTTGAGCGACAGGTGTGTGAGGTTGCCCAGGCCCAGGAGGGCGCCCGGGGCCACCTGCAGGGCCCGTTGGCAGGGGTTCTTGTAGTAGCAGTTGCCATCCAGGAAGAGGAAGCGCAGGGCGTGCAGGCCTGCGAGGTGGGCAGGGTCCAGCACCAGGATGTTGGTGCGGCTCAGGGACAGGGACACGAGGGAACTGGGCAGGGCGGGCACGGTGGTGATGCTGTTGTAGCTCAGGTTCAGGTCCTCCAGGGTGGGCACGGCCAGGAAGGTATTGGGCTCGATGGTCATGTGGCAGGGGAAGTGCATGGGGCTGAGGCCGGCGGGGGGGCAGTTCCACTTGAGGTTGAGACGCCGCAGGCTGGACAGGTGGACAAAGTCAGAGTTGCGGAGGTGGTGGATGCGGTTGGAGTAGAGGGAGAGGCTGGTGATGTTCCCGCGGGGCGCTGCCGCCGAGAAGCGGGGCACAGACTTGAGGAACAGCCAGTTGCAGTCCACCAGGCCGTTGGGCTGGAGCTCACAGGGCAGGAAGGGAGGCAGGGCGCCCGGGGCCAGGACCACGGCCAGCACGGCGGCCTGCACCAGGAGAGACAGGGGGTGCAGGGCACCACAGCAGGGGCCCTGCGGGCCTGTGAGAGAACAGCCCCAGCCCCGCCCCCACCTGCCCCCACTTCCTGGGGGCTCCCAGCAGGGCTCCCACACCCCTCTCTCCAAGCCCTCCCCGGGGAGGCTCCTGCCTCTGCTCAGCGCCCACCCCCGTCTAAGGCTCACGGAGAACGTAGACTCGGGTCTCAGACCCAGCCTTCAAGTCAGAGCTGCGCCTGAGACCTAGAATCCAGACTCACGATCTAGAACTTTCACTCAAAACCAAACCCCAGGGCGCCTGGGTGGCTCGGTTGGTTAAGCGACTGCCTTCGGCTCAGGTCATGATCCTGGAGTCCCAGGATCGAGTCCCGCATCGGGCTCCCTGCTCGGCAGGGAGTCTGCTTCTCCCTCTGACCCTCCTCCCTCTCATGCTCTCTGTCTCTCATTCTCTCTCTCTCAAATAAATAAATAAAATCTTAAAAAAAAAAAAAAAAAAAAAAAACCAGCCAGACAGGAGAGCCAGGCTGGCAGTCAGCAGGCCCACCAGGTTCTCCCCCCACCTTCCCTTTTCCTGCCTCAGGGGCCACTTCTCTTTCCTCCCAAGCCAGGGGACACTTGGCTCCCTTCCACCCAGCTGCCCTGAAAAGCCCTCCATGTCCTCCACCAGACTCCCCCAACGCCTCCCTCTGCCTCTGGCCAAGTCCCAGGCAGGCACAAGGGTCTTCTGCTGGGGTCTGGGCTGAGTACCACCCAGGGCCCCGGCTGGAGTGGGGTGGGGGGGAGGGGGCACTGCCCAGCTCTCCCAACTCCTCTACCTCTACCAGACCAAGCACCCAAGCCACTGTAGGTCAGAACAGATCAGACAGGGAGGGCAGCACAGGGCCAGACAGCACCTAGTCCCGGGCGTCCACCTGGCTTGTCGCCCCAGCACCACCACTGAGCAAAGCCCCAGGCCTCAGCCTCCCCAGCCACACAAGGGGTTCTGGTCTCATTGCTCAGAGAAAGGCTTCTGCTTTGATGTCTTCCGGGTTCAGTGAGTGTCCTTAGGGCCATGTCAGGGACAGCCCTTTCACTGTTGTCTGCAGCCACCAACCGCCCCCCCCCCACCACTTCCCACTGCCCCCTTCCCTGGGTGGCTGAGGGCTGCTGCTGTCTTACCATGACAGGGAGCGGGGGCTTCTCCAGAGGGTCTGGCTGGCAGACTGGGCAGCGGCTACAGGAAAGGATGCTTAGAGCTCACAGCCCCTTCCCTCATCGGCTCAGAGAACAGAGGAAATGAGAATTAAGAAAAAACCTAGTAGTGCCCTCCCTCGCTCCCTCCGGGCCCGAGCGAGGGTTGGGAGGTGCACCGAGTCAGAAGCCATTTGCATAGGCAGTTGGCAGACAGCCCCTTCAATCCTTCCTCTTTCCATTCCCCCCCCACCCCCACCCCAGCCTAAAGTGCGCCACTGACCCAGAGCGCCTCACACCTGTCGTCAGGGACAGTCTGGGGAGGAACAGGCCCAGAGCCCAGGCTCAGGTCAGTGAGGGACTGGGATTGGGGGCAGTACCGGATGTGGGCTGGGCATGCTGACACCCCTGCCAGGGCGCTCCCTGTCCCAAGAGGACTGGCACCCTCACACCTCAGCCCCTTGGCCCCTGCCCCAAAGGGAGCTCTCTTGGGCCAGTGGCTCCCACACCTGCTCGTTCCTGCCCCCTTGGTCCTGTCCCCAGGGCTCCGGGGGGGGCCTGGCACACCCGGGGGTGGAGCAGCATGGGTCTCACCTTGGCTGCACCTGCCTCCACCGCAGGCTTCCACTTCCTCCAGGGGCAGGGCCTCCTCTTCCGCGTGCCCAGTGTGCCGGGGGGCCCCCGTCAGAGCACCTGCCCCATGGCCGGGCCAGCTGGGACGGCTCTTGCCACGCTCCCTCTGACTGAGCTGATCCTAACAGGTGACTCAGGCCCAAAGCCTCAGGGTGACCTGGGCCCACGGCAAGCCCCGTTGGCTCCAGCTTCAGAATCTGCCCGTTGCCTACCATCTCCACATTCACCAGGCTGGCCTGAGCCGTCCTCATCTCTCGCCTGGATCAGTGCAGTCACCGCTGCCCCATGGATTGCCCTGCTTCTGCGCTCACGCTCCACAGCCTATTCATACTCCGCCCCTAAGTCCCACTAGGCCCTTCCTTGGCTCAGACTCCTTCCTGGCCCTTTCTGGAATCCAAGGCACAGTCCACATCATGGCCACCAAGGTCCTATGAGATCTGCCCTCCCATGGCCTCCCTGACCAATCTCCAGCCACACTGGCCTCCTTGGCTGGGGCTTGAATACTTCCAAGCAGTCTCCTGCCCCAGGGCCTTTGGACTTACTGTTTGCTCTGCCTGGAAACTCTTTTCCTATTCACTTGGCCCCCTCCATTGCCTCCTTTATATCTTGGCTCACACATGACCCTCCCACATGAGATCTGCCCTCCCATGGCCTTCCCTGACCTCCTTTTAAACCTCTCACCCTAGATCTGACACTACTCAGCCCCTTTACCTGCTGCTTTTCATTGTCGTAACTTTTTACCTGCTAACATATCATTGATTTTCCATGGTCTATCGTATATTGTCCTATTCCCCTGCTGGAATGTCTGCTTCTTTTCTTAAGATTTTTATTTATTCATTTGAGACAGAGAGATACAGGGAGAGAGAGAGAGCACAAGCAGGGAGAGGGGCAGAGGGAGAGGGAGAAGCAGACTCCTCACTGAGCGGGGAGCCTGATGTGGGGCTCGATCCCAGGACTCTGAGATCATGACCTGAGCCAAAGGCAGACACTTAACCGACTGAGCCACCCAGGCGCCCTGCAATTTCTGCTTCTCAATGGCAAGAGTTTTTTGTCTGTATACACACGGTCCAGCACAGTGCCCAGAACATCATAGGTGCTCAATATTTACTGAGTCCATGAGTCTCCAGCACTCAGCTCTGGGCAAAGAGAATGTCTCTGAATGATGGCTGGATGAATGAATGAATGAACAAATAGAGCTTCTGCTGGGAGGAGGCAGGGCTGGACACCTGCTCACCTCTGCTTCTCCATGCCCACTTCTGGGTGGCTGTCATGGCAGGCAGGCTCCAGGCTGCCAGGCATCCAGCTGGTACATAGGCCCAGGGCTTCAGCAGTGTGAGGGGGGCAATGCCACTGTCTTCCTGCCCACCTGGGAACCAGCGTTTGGGGTGGGCAAGGATAGGCCTCCTTCTCTGGGTCCTAGCTAGGGTTCCAGCTCTCCTTTCTATAATTCTAGGGTCTTGAGTAGGGAGTGCGAAAGGCCCCGGGGATGGGACACTCCCCGGAGCCCCAGCCCAAGACATGCTCCCATGAGAAAGACCGTGCCCACTCAGCAGCTGAGTCCCAGCCAATGACCCTTCATGCCCCCACCCCTGCACACCTCCCACCTGGGATAGGAGGGGCCTCTCACCCCCTTCCCAGAGGCATGGGCTGAAGTTCTGGCTCCTGCCGAATCCCTGAGCCTAAAGGAGACTCTCCTAGAGTCCCAGGGACCAGGGAGCCAGACCCTCGGGGGCAGGAACAAAAGTAGCAGAGAGGACCAACGAACTGACAGAGCTCAGGTCTGCACACATACACACAGATTAGAGGTCCAAGGTCTACACCTCAGCCCCAGAGGGTCCAGGAACCCCAGCGGGCAGAGCAGACCCAGTGTGGCAGACTGAAGAATGCCCCAAGGAGATCCACGGCCTAATCCCCAAACCTGTGGATACATTCCTATACAGGACAAAAGGGGCCTTGCAAGTGGGATTAAGTGAAGGATCCTGAGGTGGGGAGAGTATCTGGAAAGTGGGGAAGTGAATATAATCACAAGCATCCTTAGAAGACAGAGGCAGAGGAGGATCTGACTACAGAGGGAGGCCATGTGACCGGGAAGCAGAAGGAAGCAGAATCACAGAGAAGATGCTACCTCTCCGGCTTTGAAGAGGGAGTTGGGGCCATGAGCAAAGGAATGTGGGCAGCCTTTCAAGCTGGAGAAGGTGAGATAACAGACTTGCCCCTGAGGCCTCCGGAAGGAACGAGTCCTGCCAACAGCTGGATGTCAGCCCTGTCAGACTTTAGCCTTAGATTTACAAGAACTACTAAGACAGTAAATTAGTGTGGGTTTAAGCCGCTATGTTTGGTACTTTGTTACAGCGGCCGTAGGAAATGAATACGCCCAGATGCCCCCTATCATGGCGAAGGCGTGCCTGCCTCTCGGGCTGAGCTCCCATCAACAAGGAGACCCGTGTGAGGCTTGTGTGTACACTCTCTCTCTCTCTCTCTCTCTCTCCCACATTCCTGTAGCCAGGGATGCGGCAGCCCCACCTAGCAGGCTGACGGGCCCCTTCTGAGTTGAGGAGGGGCACTTATATACACAGTTTCCCAATTCCCAGTGCCAGAGGTGATTCCTCAGGGCCAGACTCAGGTGTTGATTTAAAAATATTTTATTCTTTAAAAAATACAGCATTCAACCATCTTATCCTTCAGTGACCCCCTATCCCAGCCCTGACTGAACCCACCCCTGTGGCCAAAGGCTTTGGGGCTGTGCTAGGACCCTAGTCTCAGTTCCCCTGGGGGCCAAGCTCATTCTTCCCGGCCCCCTACCCAGCCCCCTTGAGCCAGCCAGGCGGGGTCCCCAGACCCCTTGGGCACATAGGTGAGAGGCAAGGACAGCAACAGGGGGAAGGTCACAAAATGCCAGCCCGGTGGCCCTTGGAAGCTGCAAGAATGTTCTGTCACCAGCCCTCCTGCCCCACAGGAAGCAACCCCCCCACCCCGGAGCCCAGGCTGGGAAGGAGGCAGGTGGCCAGGAGTAGTTGGGCGCAGAGCCCCACGGTCCACGTGCCGGTACAGCTCAGGTCCGGCCACCTAGCTGTCATCCCCATTCTCGCTGGGGCCACGGATGAGGCGTTTGTGGCCCCGCTTGCCCCCTGGGCCCTTGGGCTTGGCGAAGGCCTGCTTGAAGGCATGTTGTTTGGGGTGCACCTCGTCGTAGAGGAACTCGGCTGTCAGCTCCGCCCCATCGCCAATCTCAATCTGCATGGGGCAAGGCAGTGGTCTGGTGGGGGACCCCGACACAAACCACCCTGGGTCACCCCCACTCCCGGGGCACCCCCTCGACCTCTCACACTCTAGCCCTGGGGTCTTCTCCCAGATCCCCACCTGGAATGCCACCCCCAGGAACACAGAGTTGGGTCTGCTGCCCTGCACGCTTTGGTGACCCCCTCCCTGCCTTCAGACCCAGGGAGAGGAGGATCATGGGTGGCCAAGGCTGGGGCTTGTTTACGCCACCAGTCAGCTGGCCCCATGCTCATCCATGTGACACAGAACCAATAACCCCTGCCTCGCCACTGCCTCGGACTCCAGTGCCTCAGCTGGAGGCTGGTGGTACTGGCCCCTGGGCGCTGAGGCTCTGGGGAATGGGCACCCACCTTCTTGGAGATCTCCAGCTGGAAGTCCTGCTCCACAGAGTCGAGGAGGCGACTCTTGCAGCTGGAATAGAGCATGCGCTCCTTGATGCTGCACTTGTATCCCGGCATCGAGTAGATGAACACTGTGGGCGGGGGGGTGGGGGCGGTGAGCTGAGGCTGGGAGACCTGCTGACCCACCCACGCCCCCTGCAGCAAGGCTACCCAGCTCCTGTCCAGACACAGGCGTGGGAGCCCTGCTGTGGCCACTCACCCACAGACTCGAGGGGGTCACCCTCATGGGTATGCTTGTAGAGGAAGAAGTGGTAGCGGGCAGCATCTCGGGGAACCCTTGAAGGCAACTGGGCCACCTCTGTGGGCTCCGTGTGCACCAGCTCGATCGTCTCCCGCTCCAGGTCCAGCTTCTGCCCAGGGCAAGGGGAGACGAGAACATGAGCGGGGGGAGGGCCTGGGCCACCCTGGCGAACAAGAAGTCCCCGAAGGGACAGGCAGGAGCCAGGGTGGAGGCTGTTTGTGGTCTCCCTCTCTCAGGACTCCCCACCCCAGTGGCCATCCCACCACAGGGGTCCCTATGAAGAGGTCACACGTGGGCTCCGACCTCTGCCCCTTTGAAGCTCCACTAGAGGAGGAAGCCCCACCAAGGGCAGTGGACAGGACAGCGGGGAGAGCCTTGACCTGAGGCAGGCCCCACTGCCAGGCTGGCCCACCCTCAAGGATGAGGCTTCTGGGGGGGGACCCGCCTCAGAAGGAAGGAGCCATTCTGCTTGGCAGGGGGATGCACGGGGCGCCCGGCTGGCTCAGTCAGTGGAGCATGTGACTCTTGATCTGAGGGTCTTGAGTTCAAGCCCCACGTTGGGTGTAGAGCTTACTTTAAAAAAAAAAAGGAAGAACAAAAGAAAGGGCAGGGGTGCGTTAAGCATCCAACTTCTGATTTCAGCTCAGGTCATGATCTCAGGGTCGTGGGACCGAGCCCCGGGTCAGGCTTCACACTCAGTGGGGAGTCTGCTTGAGATTCTCTCTCTCCCTCTTCCTCTGCCCCTCCCCACCAGCTCGTGCTCTCTCTCTAATAAATAAATAAATCTTAAAAAAAAAGAAAAGAAAGAAACAAAGAAAAAGGGAAGCCTGGCCACCGGGCCAAGAGGCCCTGCCCAAGGAGAGGGGGCAGCCAGGGGGGCTGCAGAGGGCGTCTCGGACAGACAGGGGCTCAGGTCTGAGGGGTCAGCATGAACTCCAGGGTGAGTATGTGTGTGCAGTGAGGAGGGCATGGTGAGGGACAGGATCTCACAGATGTCCCTGCATGTGAGCAAGGACTGGGCAAGGCAGGGGAACCCTGTGCGTCCCCTGCACGCGGCAAACAGGACCCGGTAGGGACGGGGAGGGGGAGGGGGCGGGGGCCAGTGAGATCCGCGAGTACACGGGGGAGCTGAAGGGCACAGACCGGGGGCCGGGCGCACACCCGTCCCCGGGCCTGAGCAGGAGCAGGGCAGTGGCACAGTGCGCTGGGGCGGGGGGGGACACGGCCCCTCACCAGTTGGATATAGTTGATGGTCTTCTGTCTGAGCTGCTGTAGCGCCCTCTGAGCTGCAGGCTGCAGTGGGAAGGTGAGGCCCTGCAGGGTCTGGTGCTTGCTCTCCACACTGATCTCTGTCTTCACCTGGGGGCGGGTGAAGAGTGAGGGAGGCCCTGACCTGCCTGACCAGAGCCCTTGGAGCACAGACCGGCCACCTGGGCCTCATGGGACCCGGAGGGCCTCAGGCCGGGACTTCCGCCCACCCGGTCTGGCGCACCTACCTCATTAATACGGATCTGCTGAAGCTCTCTCTCGGCCGAGGTCAGCGGGGCGGGCGCCGCACAGGACGACAGGTGCTTCTGGTACCCAGCAAAGGAGAGGTCGTCCTGGCCGGTAGATGCAGAAGCATAAATGGGCACCGTGGGGTGGGCTGGCAGAAGCCCACTGAGCACCCCAGCTGGAAGCCCCTGGACTCTCCCAGCCCTCCCCACGCCTCCCCACTCCTGGCACCCACTTCCTGTGGGACCCTGCATAACATCCCACCCTCTGTGGGCCTGTGATTCCGGCCTGGTGGAGTGTGGCCTAGGGGGCCTACCTTCACGGTCCCAAAGAGCTCATCCTTGATGTGGCCGCCCCCAAACTCCTTCTTCACTGTGGCCCGTGTGGCTGCATACAGCATCTTCCGCCGCACCTGGAGGGGAGGAGCTGAGCCGTGAGACCCCTCC